CAGGTATCAAGTAAGCATTTATATTCAAAATAAATGTTTTCCCACAAAACCAAGCATAGGAATAATACCAAACTCATGAGTTTCCTGAGAGTAATTCCWCTCCACTTAGAAAACAGGAGGAGTCCAAGAAAGAACTTCTCTGCGGGGGAGGAAGGCAGGAAGGAAGGAAATGTGAATTACATACACCTCTAGATAAGTTCCCCTTGAAAAAAAGGAAGGAAATTAGAATTAACTAAAAAGAGCATGTTTAGCATCACTGCACAAGCTGGGGAAAAAAACCTCGGAAATCCGGGCTACAGATAATGCTGCCTCCTGTCCGTGGCAGGCCTTCCACAGTCACTGCCCCAGGGAGAGGTGAAAGGGCCATTTTTCACTCTTTTATAAGCAGCACCACTTTGAAGTTACAARTCAGAGTCACCATTTGATGGTCACCTCTCCCTATGTCATCCTATGTTTCTTTGTAATAAGGCCRTTAAAAAACATGTGTTTTCACTTTTTAAAATTATTTCTGAAAAAGGATAACTCATAACTGAACAGAGACAAGGGCTCTGTTGATACAACAACATGTGGATTAAATCTGAAAGGAGAAAGAAAGCTGTTCTAATAAACTGACAATCCTGCTCAGAGGCCTTATATCCAGATTAGTGTAATAAATCATGAGGGAAGATTTCTCTTTGGCTGAAACAACCATTTATTTAGGCATGGAACAAGAGTATTTTAAAATTGTTCTGGAAATTGCACACAAAAGACTTTCTTCATTTTTGTTCTTTTTTGTTTGTTCATTTTCTGTTGAGTTTTAAGCACACAGCCAAAGTTTTGCATTTGTTTTACTTAAAAATAGTTACTTTTGGAGGCTTAAACCTATCACAAGTCAGCCAGACAGCACCATTGGGCTCCTACAGAAACAGGAGAAAAAAAAAAGAAGAGAAAAAAATGGTTCTTGCTCCATTACRTCATTACATTAGGCAGCAAACTGCCCTATGCTTTATGCTTTCCCCATTATGCTCCTCTCCTGTGTTTTTATTAACTCACTTGTACTTGTTCCCTTAGTGTCTTTTAGCAGTGGCTTTTTCTCTCTTTTTTAAGCATGAGACACTTGGCACCATTGCTACGTACCCTTATCACACACAATTTGTCCTACAGTGGCTTCTGAGCCCAGCATAAAACCCTGCCCTGTCAGAACATCAGTTGGGGGGCAAGTGAACAGCAAGGAGGGGCTCCAGACACCCCAGTCACACCACCAGCCTCAAAACACTGCTCTGAACCAGCACTGGGCATCCACATCCCCACTGTGCTGCTCGGCAAAAATCAGGGCGTGGCAGAACTGCTTGAGTACAACACTGACTATATCTATAGATGGGTCCTAGAACTGCAATTAAAAAAGATGTTTTAATAAAATTCAGATTTGTACCTGGAGCTGAGAACCAATTCCCTTTCATACACTGTGCCACGGGGATGGCATTGGCCAACTCAGGCGAACACGTCACCACAGAATCCATGGTTCAAACAATGACAAAAACCAAAACATCATTATCATAAAATGAAAGTTTCAGTTCCACAGAATTGTTCTGTGAGAAAATATTTCTAGGAGATGTTACTCATAACTGGAAGGAAGTGTTTCATGCAAGCAGGCTGGAGCTCCTCTCAAGTATGTTCTGTAATGTCCTTGGCTCCTGGATTACCATAAGTTTTTAGAAAACCCAAACTGTGGTAAAACACGAGACATCTGGGTAGGAGATGGAGAATAACACTAACAGGGTGAAGATCCTGGCTGAAGCCTCTGACATTCACGGTTGTCAATCCTAATGTCACTTACAGAAATCACAAGAGTACAAGAAACACTTTAAAAAACCACTAAAAACCACAATGCCCAGACCCACAGATGAAATGCTTAAGCTCTGTTTTTAAGCAACTGTTTTTATCTCCACTAGAGGAGTCTTTGAGTATTCCATTCCACATTAAAATCCATCTGCCAGGCAGACAAATAAAAGGTTCCTCAGAAATTCCAGCTGATACAGTCAYTGGGAAGCCATCCCAGCCTGCCTTGTCTGCTGCTGTATTCCCAACTCCCTGAAAGAATCCAGGGGCCACACATCAACCCCAGATCAGATCTGGGCTGCTGTCTCTCCGCATACCACTCCCTTTGCCCAGAGAAGCTGCTGCCACCCTCCCAGCAGAGCAGTGGGAGCTAGCAAGTGTACGAATGCYAGCCTTTGTGCTGAGGCTGGTTTGCCAGGATCCCCTGCCCAGACCTGACTCTAGGGACTGTTCACCTGGTGCCATCAGCTGCCTCACAGGCTGCAGGATCTGCCCACAGCGCTGCTTCCCGCACATCTGCAGCCACCCACGTGGCACCACGGCTCAGCTCAGCTTCTGCTGCCTCCTCCTGTGCTCTCCCACTGGCAGGGATGTTGAAAAACCCTGGAGCAGGAACAGCTCGATTTTTTTTTCTACTCCAGGCAACCCCTCTTTGCCAAAAAGCTAACAAGGGGACAGAAAGTTCTGGTGGGGCAGAAAGGGAAAGTGCAAGAGGAGATTAAAAAAAACAGGAGAGAAAAAAGGTCTGACCAGTACTTTTTCTTATTATTTTGCTTTTGATTGTGGAGAATGAAGCCTAGTGATCAACAGAGTTCAKGGAAGCCCTTACACAGTGATGCAGGACTCCAAGGAAAGCGTTCTCTTTGGACTGTAGCACAGAGCCCTCTTTGATAACCCCTCCTGTTGTCAAAATTTACTGTCTTTACCCCACAGACAAATCTGCACCTCAAATGAAGCTTCCTGGCAAGACACACATGGCAGTCYGGAAGGCTTCCCAGCCAGGAGCTGGTCAGTCAGTGGACAGCTGGTTCTGCTCATAGCTGCCCTACTCTGTGACCTGTCACATCACCCTCCATGCCATGCCTCCTCTCTTCTTGGAGAGGCACAGCAACACCCCAAGGAGTGGTGACACAGAACCAGCACTGCTCCCACAGCATGGGGAATTTAGACGCTGAGTAAAGCCATACCTTAAAGGTGAGGTTCATGCCCTGCAGGGATGGCTCCAGCCTAGGAAATATGCCCTGGGTTTTGCCAAGGCTCCCCAGGGTGGGGATGAGTCAGTGCTAATTGCTCAGAAAACATTCTGGGTCCCACCGGTTTGGAATGGTTTTGTAAAAGAAAAACAAGGTATGCTTGGACAAATGTGAGATTGTGTTTGTGTTTACAGACAATCTGACTCTTGCRTATAAAGAATGCTGTTCCTTGGGCAAAAAACTAAAAACATCGGGAAATCAAAAGTAATGCAAATGATCTAGCTCTATAATCTTGCCAGAACAGAAGCACCACCAAAGCAGTTGAACAATAATCACCATCTTAAATTTGACTTCTCTGACTCTGCTTTGTTCAATATTTTAATTATATTTTTTTAAAAAATCTAAACCACTTCAGATTTTAAAGCACATTTATATACATTGATTAATTCTCCCAAGGTAAAAATCATTATCCTCTTTTTGACACAAGGAAAGTGAAAGGAGACACAACAAGCTATTTGTCAAAGGCACAGAGGAAATGGTGGAAGGACTGGTACAAAATCCCAAGAGTTTCTGGAGCAACTTATTTTTTTATCAAGGATTTACCTTTTTAAAGATAACAGCAACCAAAAAAATCCAAAATATTTAGGATCAGGGAGTTTTATCGGGTAAAGGCCACAAGAAAAGCAAGTTATTCCAACTTACTAAWCACATTTGGAAAACAGCAGTGAATTCTCTATTAAAGTGTTGCTATGTTCCTTGCAGAGCAAAAGCATGAAATCAGCTCACAGCACAGGCAGTCTTGCCTTGGATCATCAGTACCCAGGGTAATCCAGCTCCACATTCCCACCTTCTGCTCTGGGGCAAAGGACATTTGCATGAGGATTTTCTCTGCAGAGCGGGTGGGGAATGCAGCCACACGGCTCCCGTGGGTGATTCCAGAGTGCCCTCTAACGAGGCTGCAGCTGCATTTCACACACACAGGGAYACCAGAAAAATCCAAAAAGAGCTTTTCCAGAAATTTCTCATGAAAACCCAAGCTTTGTCTCCACTTGCAAAGGGGAAAGAAGACGATATACACTAACTGGTGACTGCTCCTGCACAGACATTTTATATTGCCCTACACTATGCAAGCCCTCGTTGGTAAACATCTCAGTAGGCAGCAGGACTATACAGAACAATGGGAAAATTCATAGTTCTCCCATTCCAAGAGAAGAAAGGATATTGAGTCAGACGACAGTTAACCCAGTAAAACTTTTTAAGAGAGATTGAGTTTTACACAATCTGTAAGGAATCGCTGGGTAAATTTTCAATATACAATGTAGTTAAATCAAACTTTACAAAAATAAGTGAATATCATCAACAAAATTCACAAATCAAAATTTAATCTGCTTTAATATATTCCTTAATACACTGCTATACCATAAAGTACTGCCTATTTGAAGGCTGTCTGCACCCAAGAGTGGCCACACAAGCTRCAGTGATGAAACAGGACTCGGTACAAGTTCATACAACAGACACATGGTTTATTGCCCAATTTGCTTTCACCCACCTAGTAAACTAATAAACCATCATGCAAACCAAAGTTCTTATTACTTTGAGAAACAAATCTCACGCTGATCCTCAGAATACAAATTCATTTTAATAATCTTGGCATCACATTTTTACAATAGGTCTGTTGCTTCCCCTTAAAGATGCACCCATAGCTATGCCATGAGAGCACAGCTGCTCAGTGTAGGCTCAGAACAGTGACAGCAGCCTGTGCAGCTCCTGTCCCCTCCCTCTACCCTGTCCCCTACCTCCCCTCTGTCCCGCACCAAAGTATCCCACTCAGGTGTCCCCTAACACCCCAGCTGGGAGCAGAAAGTACAAATGATCCTTTCCCAGGCTCCTACAAGACAGAATGGAAAGGGGCAGAAGTTCCTGAAGCTGCATTGCCCCCATCCTGCCAGATGTGTGYCAGAAGCCTCTGAACAGACCTGGCAAACTCACCCCAAGGGAGGACAGTGAAGGCGTCAGCAGCTGGGCAATGTCTGGGGGGGTCCCACTGCCACCACGGAGCTGCAAGGAAGCAAACAGGTCTGTGAGCACTTGTAYACCTGGTAACACAACACCTCAGCCCCACAGCCCCCAGCAAATACACSGGACAGTGCAAGCCTGGAAAGAGGTTGGTGGGCATCAAATTCTTCCTTAAACCCATCTCACATACTTGTCAACTTCTTTACTTCTTGCTAAGCAACTTGACTGTAATGTTAAGATCATGAGGTGCTMTGAGGGGAGACCTCAGAGAAACCTGCAGCTCCTCCCGAGGAGTAGCAGAGGGATGGCTTTGACCTCTGCTCTCTRTGAGCAGGGACAGGACCCGAGGGAATGGCTGGAGCTGTGTCAGGGCAGTTGGAGGTTGAGTATCAGGAAAGGTTCTTCYCCCAAAGAGTGCTGSGCACTGCCCAAGCTCCCGAGGGAATAGTTCTGGCCCYRAGGCTGCCAGAGCTCCAGGARCATTTAGACAATGCTCTCAGAGATGCACAGGGTGGGACTGTTGGGGAGCTTGTGCAGGGCCAGGAGTTGGACTCAATGACYATTGTGGGCCCCTTCCAGCTCAGGRGATCCTGTGAGTCTATCTGGGTCACCAAAGACTACGAACACCAAACCAATGTGATGAACCATCGAGGGARCCAGCATCCTGACCCACACATGTTATCCACTTCAACAAGCACAGCACCTCCAGAAAAGCTMCACTCCATGTGTGGAATGGCCCACCACTGCTCACAACCAGCCCCAGACAACAGCACCCTCAGCTGTACAGGTAACAAAAACCTGCCCTGCTCCAGTGAAACTGCAGCTTGAGCCTGTATAGCACAACTGCACTGCCCTTCTCAAACAGCCAAACTCATTTCCTTTMWRCTTCTAACAGCAGAAGATTTTAGTYGCCAASGAATATTTTCCAAAAATGTACAGGCAATTGCATAASCCAAGAAACCCACATAGAGCAGTTTGATAGAGCCAGGATTTCCCAAGCAGTGCTGTGCACTCTCTGATATGTTCAGACATTCCTCACAGCACTGCCACATTCCAGCCAACTCTCTCCTGATGTAACAGTTTATTCCTTGAGGAGGTTCAGGCAGAGTTTGACATTACAGAGATCAGCAGCGGACAGGCAGTGTCCTGGCTGTTTTGAAAAAGAGACTTTTCTTTCATGAACATGTAACCTAGACAAGGCTCAGTGAATTGGTATAAAATAAAAAAAAATATCCGAATGTCTCTTTTGAACCAGAGCTGCATCCTATTCAGCAGACAAAACTGTGGAAAAATGCAAGAGCAAACAAACCTCTGAAATGAGTAAGTGAACCACAGTTGTGTGTAGAGCTGTAAGGGTAACCTCTTTTAAGGTACTCAGCTTTTGAAGGCAAAATGAACAACAACCAAGAATAAATCACATTCTGTGGGTATCACTAGCCATGGAATGAGCAGTAAAAAGTATTACACTTAATCAAGAGTCTAAAATGACAGAAGCCACACATTTAGACTTAACATGAAGTGTGACTATATCCTTGCCAGAGATGGAGATGTAATAAARAGGAAATTATTTAAATGCATGAAATCCATGTAAAAATGAATTCGAGTCTCTCTGCTCTGGCTCAGTAATGTATGAAAAGGATCCCAGCAATGCCCAGCTCAGCAACCTGCACGAGTCAGAGCTGTACAGACACATCTACAGCTTTGCTCTCCCAGACTCAGAGATGGACTGGGAAGAGAAGCACTGGGAAGAGAATTTGGCTACTGTATTGTGACAAAAAAAAAAGAGGCTTTGAAGCGTTGTTTTTATGTCAGTCACTACCACAATGAGCAGAGGCAGGTAAGGCCTGCAGGAACAGCAGTTCCAGAGCACAGCACCAACTGGAACTGCTCCTGATATATCAATTTTAAATAGGTTTCAGTATTGTTACTGTTCAACTGTTTTTACAACATAAATTAGATTTTTTTTTCCCTTTGCTTAACTCTTTCATTATTTATATGTACTTTTTCTTTATTAGCAAATTCCTTCTTCATGATTCACAGTGTGGTAAGTACAAGAAATATACAACCATGTCTATAGGATACTGGTCAGAAAAGGCACATAACTCTCATGTTTTACAAGTGATCAGACAAGAAGTTGAAGGATTTTTAACTGCTCCTGGTCTGACTGGATTCCAAAACACTTCATCTATCTTTACCTTCCCTGCCCACCTATTCCATGCAGAAGAAACTGCAAGGATTATTCTGTAAGAATTAGCAACATAGGATTTTTGTTTCTGCCACAGAAATATCTTTTTCTGGTACAGAATTGTCTTTGACAATTGCCTCAACTCTCTAACAGGTTTATTCCTTCTTAGAGCCAGCACCAAGGGCTTTGCCCAGAGCAACAGCCCAATCAAGAGGCAAAGCTGAGCCTAAAGAAGTTGTTAATGACATAAGCAGGGTTTATTGCCTGATTTTTACCTGCTGTCCATACAGGAGTGTTTGCCCCAGGTCTCCCAGCAGGCAGTTAGAACAGCTGGGAAACTGGATGAAACTCTCACCTTCCAGGCCCAAGTTAATGCCATTTGGTCACATTGCAACAGCAAGCCTCTACACATATTCTGAATGAAGGAAATTTTTTATCCTCTGGGAAAACAGCTTTTCAGACTTCTGATATCCCACATATACATATCCCCCTTTCATTTTTCTGCAAGATTGTTTCAGAATTTTATCACTGACGTCTACCAGTTCCTCCAACACTGTATTGATTTATTACACATTCAATTAAAAGATAAATGTGTGAACCTGCAGGATATTCAGCCTTTAGAACATGTCCTGTTTCTGTTTGTATATTTGTTCCTCACTTCCTCTGAGACCAGCCCTCCTTCCAGCACCCCTAGTTACCAAGAGAGCTGCTTGAGGAGGCTGTCAGAGCACCAAGAATCCTCAGAGAGCTACAAAAAAAATTTTTATTTAAAAACGTATTACACAGATGCAATAATTAGCTTTTGAATTAAATTACTAAAATTTGGTTCAGAAGAAAATTCTTAATTCCAATAAAATGTCATTAGCATAGAGGTGCCCTGTGTCATTCCCTCTCCTCCCAGGTTACATCACTTAACACATTAGCATTAAAGTTATTTAATGCACATTTGGGTAAWTTATTTGCTCACAGGAGCATAAATTGATATAAATGCACAGACCTGAGTCTCTGTGAAGTCTGGCATCTACCTCTGCACGAGGATCCCTCTGCACCCAAACAAAGCAGAGAATTCAGAACACAGSGAGCACTCCCTGCCTCCTCTCAGCTTCTCCAAAATGGAGGAAAGTCACAGAAATTACACTGGTTCCAGCTTTGCCAATTCCTGTTTGCCATGAAAGGAGCAAGCTGAAGTGTTCAGTTTAGTCCTCCTGAGTATCTGCACATGCTCTGAGCACTGCACCTTGACCTGATGGGGCTTTGTGTGAGCAGCACTCTCGACTGCCCCAACAAAGAGATGAGTTTTCTGCCACTGCTGAACTGTAACCACCACCAAAGCTCTGGGCAGGTGAGTGTCAGGATTTCTACCAGGCAGCACTGTTGCCTTGGAAACTCCAGAGAGAGTTTTTCTGATGGTGYGTTTACTTTACAGAAGATGCATTTTCCTGGTTCTGCTCCAAATGTTAAAATTGATTTCTCCTGCCCTATTGCTTGCACATACTGTGAGAAAACACATGGAATGAGAAGTGATGGCTAGCAGTGATGGTTGTGCCAAAGGCTGTCCCCCAGCCATGGGCAAGTGTCTGTTTCCATGTAAAACCAGGAAGGCAGAGAACTCTTGATCTACACCAAAACACACGGCGCTGTGCAAGAGACAGTTTCACTGCTCATGGGAGCACAGAGAGATTTGCTATTTTAACGAAAAAGTAATAATTTCAGAGTGAGTTYAGTAAATCCTTTGGTTAACCCTTTTATAAATCCTCCTACCCTGAAAGGACCCTCATCCTGCTGAAACAATACATGGAGTCTGACCCAGTTGCAGATGTCCCTGCTTACTGCAGAGGGTTGGAATGGATGGGTTTTAAAGTAACCTTCCAACCCAAATTATTCTGTGATTGAGACAAACACCCCAAAATCCCTTTAYAAGAATCTGATGAGGTCAACAATGACAGAGACAGTTCCAGCAGGAAAACTGCTTTTAATGAGGCCCAAAAGCTCTCATKGCACCTTAACAAAGAAGCCTTTGCTGCGAACTCCTGTCTGGATCAACTGCAAAACTATGGGGAAGAGTAAATGTGGGCAGGGATTCCCTGCACTAGTGTAACACAACTCTTTGCCCACCTCAATGCCTGCTCTTTGTGGCCAAACTCTGATATTTAAACAGTGGAGAAACACACACATCCCCTTAATCTAACTTTCTTCTGGCAGAACAACCTATGGAGTTCCCCAYTGAAGCAGAGCTTCATCGAAAAGCRTAAGATYTCTTAAACCTGTCTTTAGACACCAGCCTTTCAGCAATGTTAAATGAACCCCCTGCAGTTTCTGCAGYTCAGAAGGTGCCTCAGTGACAATCTCCCCATTCCCCAAAGCCCTGGCCCAGTCTAGCCCCAGCAACCTGCCCAGGACTCTGCTSTAACACACCTTCAACACTGTGATCATTTGGCTGAGGAGCTCCAAACACTGACAAGCCTTTCCCTCTTCCTGAACTATTCCTGTAACTAACCACCATCACTGCTAGGAAATTGGATCACATTCAGAAAAATTTGTGCAGCTCTCTCAGTTACCAGATCCTGTTATGCTGTTGTTGGAAAGGCTGACRAGATCTTCCCATAGGCATGGGATAACTGCCCACAGGCATGGATTTCCAGAGTGGCTGAGTCACTCCTGAACTCTCTTCTCTTGAATGTACCTAAACAAACAATTTATTCAGGGCTTGTTTTCCAGAATGGAGCATTTTTGTGGCCTGCTCTTAAACCCCCAGTATTTTTATATCTCATGAGATCCTGTAACCAGAGATGCTCTGGTAACCYGTTCTAACCACATGCACACACATGATCACTACAGCTTGATTTCTTTAGAAAAACTAAAAACCACACGAGCAATCAACTCTTCCCCCACCAGTGAAGTTCATGTTGTGTCACTGATGCACCTGTGTCCTGCTAGTCTCCCTTTAACTCCCATTAGTCATTTTCGTGGAAAGCTGTTGTGAGCTCCAGATTTCACATRGTATCAAGATCCTCCTGCCATTTGGAATGACCCAACAAAACAGGTCAGGCCAGGCCACTGTTGCAACACTTTGTCACTGCCCATCTCCCCTCTGCATCAGCAGGGACCTTGAACAGCAAAGGTTACAAACCTGCTTTGGGCTCAGTCACTGATTGAACAAGAAGGTAGGAAGCTGACTCTCACTCATCTATGGCTTCCATTTAACAACTGAGGCAGGAGTTGTCCTAAGGTCATTCTTAAACTTTGTATCGCAATACCACCTATTTTAACTAACTTATCAGGTTGCACTAGAGTTCAGTTCCTCACAAATCCAGGTTTCATCCAGCATTCATCAGTAGACTTAGCCAGATGCTCAAATCCTTTCTCAGGAAGGAGCCCCACTGAGGGGATCTCTTTTCCAAGTGCATGTGGTTTAGCCTTTAAACTCTACGCTCRTTGTATCTGCAGTACCTAATTATATGAAGATTTTTACATACTTATTTTATTCCACTCCCGCTGACATCACTTTAGCAAACTACCTTTATTTTCCTAAAACACATTTACCTTTCTATGCACGGACAAAAGTTGTGGCACTTCTAATCCAAACTCTTCTTTCACATTCTCCACATTTAAAATCAGTGGCAAGGAGCCCAAAGCTGAAACCTACCACTTCCACCGCTGTCTGGTGCAGGACTACCACKGATTTCTTTGGTTTGTTAAATTGTAATTAACTCGCTCAAGCACGTGTAACTCCTGTAATTCCGTCCCGCCACTCTGCGGAGTTGGAAGGTGTGCCATCACCTGTAATTATGACCCTGCTCTCTCCACCCTGCTCCCCGCACGCACGGGCTCTTTGCCCAGCCCGCTCCGCCGCACCGACACGGCCGCCGGAGCCTCCCCGCGCCGGAGCCSGTAGGCCCCGAGACGCTTCGTGGCTTTATTTCGGCGCGTGGTGCGTACACCCGGAGCGGCCCCGCCGTCCCCGCCCGCTCGCCGCTCCTCTCGGCGTCCAAGGCTCAACGTCCGCTGCGCCGGTCCCGGCTCCTKCACATGGGGCCGGTTTCCCGGGTTCCTCTTGCCGGGTGCCGTCCCCGGCCCCGCCCGGGCCCGCTCGGAGCCGCCTCCGGGACTCACCTGGCACCGACCGGAAGCGCCCTGAGGCGCGGTCCGTCCCTCAAAACCTTCCCCGCGGCAAACCCGAGCGGCGCCGGAACGTCTCGTGCACAGCGCCGCGCCCCCATCGGTCTCCTGTTGGGGGCACCGASGCACAGAGCCGACAGGGGGCGATGCCGCCCGCGGCAGCGCGTGAGGCCGGRGGGCGGGGCTCAACCGTATTGACCAGAGCACGGCGGCACTACGCCTACCGTACTTACTGTAGTTAACGCGCACTAACTGTAGTTAACGCGCACCCTGCATGGCCCTAAGACTATTTGCTCTGTTATTCATATTAAATTCACATTAAGTATTTTACTCAAAGAAGCTCCCAAAGCGGCATTTTGGCTGCGTCAGCGCCGGCCGCGGGCTCCCTTCTGGCGACTGGTCAGGTGCCCTCTGGTGCCCTCAGACCCCCCTGGTGCCCGCTCAGGTGTGTCCCCCCGGGTCCCGCCGCGGGGTCCGTGTGATGCACGTCCCACTTCCCGCTCCCCTTCCCGCGGCCATGCTCCCTCCCGGGCTCCGTGTCCCCCTCTCCGCCCCCTCCCGGGCTCCGTGTCCCCTTCCGGGGTCCGGGTCTCCTCACGGGATGCGTGTCCCACTCCTTCCCCTTCCTGCGTCCCCTGGCGCAACCCGGGGTCTGTGTCCCCTCCCGGGGTCCGTGTCGCTTCCCGGGGTCTGTGTCCCCTCCCGGGGTCCGTGTCGCTTCCCGGGGTCCCTGTCCCCCTCCGCGCCCCTCCCGGGGTCCGTGTCCCCCTCCCGGGTCTGTATCTCCTCCCCGGGTCTGTGTCCCCTCCCGGCTCTGTGTCTCCTCCCGCCGCCCAGGGGAGGAGCGGAGCGGACAGAGGAGACCGCGCTCCCCGCCCCGCCAGGTGAGGTGCAGGTGAGGCGCGGCCGGGCCGCAGGAGCCGCTCCGGTGTCCGCAGCCCCGTAGCCGCAGCCCCGGCCATGGCGTACCGGGAGCTGGTGCGGCGCTGGCACGAAGCCGTGMGGGCGGCGGACCGCGGGCACTGGGACGCTGCCCTGGAGACCTTCGGCGGCATCGCGGAGCCCCCGGCCAGGATCTGCTTCAACATGGGCTGCGTGCAGCTGCTGGCCGGGCGGCCCGAGGCGGCCCTGAGGGTGAGCGGGGCGGGGAGCACCGGGGGAGCACCGGGGGAGCACCGGGGGAGCACCGAGGGGAGCACCGGGGGAACACCGGGGGAGCACCGGGGGAGCACCGGGGGAACACCGGGGGAACACCGGGGGAACACCGGGGGAACACCGAGGGAGCGGGGGGGTCCCCGACATGGGCGGTTCGCCTCCCCCGTGCCCGGCTCTGAAGAAATGATGCTGAAACTAGAATTTTAAATCCAGCGTTTTGTGTCCTGGGTGTCCACCGGGAATGCAAGCRGGGATGTTGGAGGTAGAATGGTTTAAGGAAAAGATTTAGCAGAGTGAAAAACCGTAAAGTAAAAAGTTGAAGTTAAAAAGGTGGATGTAGCAGTAGAGAACGTGTAGTGTAGTGGTGTAGTGGTGCTGGCTAACAGTTGGACTCAATCTCTGAGGCTTTTTCCAACCTCAGTGATTCTGTGATTCTATGGTTCTATTAATACAATGAAAACTCAGATAAGTAGGAAACTTCAAGGTGTTGCAGAATTGTTTTGAAACAAAATAATAGTGAGAGAGAATATTTAGATTAGATACTGGAAACTGCATCTAGCAATGTAAGTTTTGCTTAATCTGAATCAATTAAAATCGTGTTCTTTAGATGAACTTAGCTTATTATCATGTGTAAACTACACCTCTGAAGCTCAGGCTTGCCTGATTTGAAGTGAAGAACCTCAACCCCCTGGACATGCACAATAAATTAAAAATGTATTGTAGCTTTAAATCGAAGCAGGAAGAAGGTTGTCCAATAACTGTTCTGTAGGCATTGATTTAGACATGAGATGGGTGTATTTTGAAAGCACAAATATACTGCTTGACGGCTGAAACTGCCAGAACAAAGCTGCTGTGCTRGAAAACCACTGCCCTGTGGAAGGGAGTGGAGGTGCCCTGAGGAAAAGCCTTTTTGTGGCAGCACCTGGTGTATCTGCACATCCATTATCTGTCTTGGTGAGGTGATGCAGATCAACCTTTCCCTAAGCTCAAAGAAGAGCTGAGGCTGTGCTGGAGGGGCTGGGGCAGAGCTGTGGAGCCCTGGGCAGGGCTGTGGCTATTTGGGACAGAGTGAGCACATGGCAGTGGTGCCCAGCAGAGACTTCTCAACCCCAGCCAAGGGGTAGTGACTGGGAAAATGCTCAGATTTATTTCCGTGTAGACCAACAGCTGGTTGGTTGTTATTTCATTTACGGCCCAGTAAGGCCGGCGGTTCCAGCACGGTGTGTGCAGGATCACAGACATCTTCCCCCTGCAGTGCTGTCCCTTTGCAGGCAGAGCCAGGGAAGTCTGGGCTTTCAGGAGCTGTTATCTCTGTATCTCTGTGTGGTGTCTGCAGTGATAAGGGTGGAGCACAGCCCTCCTCCCGTCTCAGGAGGACACTTGGCTCTCCCAGCACAGTCACTCTGAACCAYGAGCTGCTGCCAGCTCTGCAAGCACTCACCTGTAGTCAGCTGTGATGCTGARTCCGAGGTACTGACTTAGGGTCCATTGTGGGAAGCCCTGCAGCTTTCTGCCTCYCATCCTTTCATTACTCCTCCCCTCAGCTGGTCTGGCTGCTCTTGCTATTTGGCAAACTCTGCACCAAACTGCACATTTTCCCCATTTTCAGAAGCCAGATGGCCAATGCAGCTCATGTATGTCCAGTCCATTGTGGCAAAGAGGGGTAAAAATCTGAAAGTCAGCTCACACAGAGACAAGACCTGAACAATGACCAGGAGCTGTGTCTGRCCCCTCAGAGCTGGGCAGGAGCCCAGGCACTGCCTCTGTGAGGGCAGCTGGGACATGGCTGGTGAATGCATGTGCCCAGGCACCAACGGGACAGATCCCAAATGATCCCTGGGAYGTGCCTTTGTTTTTCTCCTCAGGCATTTGACAAAACCATTGCGAAGGATAACTCCCTGGCTGTGGGCTACTTCCAGAGAGGGTTTGTCCACCTGCAGCTGGAAATGTGAGTGAGGTGCACAGCCAGTGCAGTCTTTGGTTCTCTCCTTCAGTCATGCTTTATTCCTAAGCGTAAATGATTCTTTGATTCCAAAATTCACTTCTTCCAGCACTCTTGCAGGGTTCACAGGGTCTGCTTTGGAAACCCTGTCAGCAAGTCTTATCTCTGGTAAGAGCAGCACAGCTCTGGGGCCCCAGGGGTGGCTGACACATGACATTGCTGTCCCATACACACAGAGAMTCCGGCATGCAGTGCTGCCACAATGCTATGTTGCCATCCAGATTTTCTTTGGGAATTAAAAAATTATAATTAAGGTTCATGGTGTGTCTTCACATGACACACATGAGTCTGGCCTTCCTAAAAATGCAGGCTGCCCACTCTGCTGCAGATTTCGGGGGCTTGATCTCAGTCTCATTGATGACATTGTGAGATTGCTCCAGAAGTGTCATGGGATCTATTACTCATTGTTTCCACAATTAAATCACAGTGCCATCCTCCTCAGGGAGGTGGGTGAAGTATTATGCAGATCTTGTCTTACCTTTGAGTTCAGTTTTTTTTTTTTTGGGGGTTTTTTTTTTTTTTTTTTTTTTTTTTTTTTTTCTGTTGTTTCCCCCATATTCCCCCAGACTTTAATTTCCACAAAATGCCTGTCTTTATTTCTGGGAGGGAGTTAAAATGAGTGGTTCTGGCTTCTCAAGTGGAGGGGCTGTGCCCAGGGCTGGTGGAGCCACAGGCAGGGCTCCCTGGAGCTGCTCCACAGTCAGCAGAAGCAGAGAACTACACCCCAAGCACACCCACAGCAGGGGTAACACGGCTGGGGGCTGCCTCCTGCCTGAAGAGCTGATGGCTCCCAGCACCTTGGGGCTCATTCCCTTGTCAGAAGCTGCTCTCACCCACCCACACCCACCCGGGACCTGCTCTTGGTCAGGTGCCCACTGCACAGCCCCTCCCAGACCCTTCCTTTCATCACCTGCTTTTATTTCAGTTGCATAGCCGGTGTAAATTCAGACTAATTCCCTTTTTATCCTCAGAGAGTCTATAAATTTCTAAATTTTGAGGTTCTGAATTTTGAATTTCCAAGTTTTGGTTCTCTGACCATGTGTGTACCTTTCCTGCTCTCCGTCAGCTGTGTTCCGAGCCCTTGGTCCTCCCGAGACATGCTGGGACAGGCAAGAAGCTCCCAGCAGTGGATAATCATTCTTTACAAAGATGGCACATCTCTGGAGGAGCTCTCCTCACACAGGCTGCAGAGCAGAAGACATTTTATTTGCTAGCATGATTTTCGAACTTCTTAAAAAAAGTCTCTAGTTTCTTTAGTGTCAGTTTCTTATCTCACCTCTGCATTTCAGGTACGAAGAAGCTCTCTCTGACTATCACATGGCCTTCAGTCACCTAAGACAAAATCCCTTCATAGACTACAAGCAGTTGGGGTTGAGGCACATCCTCTATGCCTGGGAGGTAAGAGTCATTTTGGCTCAGCAATCCTTCCCCACTGTTGAYGGGGTCAGTAGCAGGCATTAGTGACCCAAGACTTTTTCAAGAAAGTACATTGGAACTGTAAAAAAATTCTGCTTGCACTTTTTTAAAAGTAACTTAATAGTAAAAGTCATAAAACAATCTAATCTCTGGAGAGTTTAGCAAATGATGCAGTTTGAAAAGTAAAATTGTTCACAGCAGGTGCCCAGGAATTTGTATATTGAGGGGTTTTTATCTTCTCTAAATGTAGGCTAAGTGGTGGCTGCCCCTGGATCCCTGGCAKGCTGGACAGGGCTTGGAACAACCTGGGATAGTGGAAGGTGTCCCTGCCCATGGCAGGGGTTGGAACTGGGAACTTTAAGGTCCTTCCCAACCCAGACCAGTCTGGCATTCTGTATAATATTTACACTTACATGCACGTAAATAACATGAAAGTTTAGTGAACTCCTCAGCTCTAAAAGCTGAAAGAGATTGTTACRTTGACAGATGAGAACAGAGCTGATCCATAATGCAGACTTTAGGAAATTCAGGTGCATGAAAGCCTCTTTCCAACTGCAATAACTGATCTTCCTATTCCCWCTGTGCCTGAATTTACAGCCTGTACTCAGGCTGTGTTTGCCTTTGTAAGTCTTMATTCTGCACCTCTTACTGTCACACAGAGCCAGCCTGCCACATTCTGTGTTCAAGGAAGCTCAAGATCTGAACTGTTTGTAAACTGGTGTAGCATTTGGAATGTAAAAGATTCCTAGAAACTCCCCTTTACTGTGAGGGTTCATTTTGTTTTCTCTGAGTCCACACACCCAGATTAAAAAGAAGATACGGGAAAGAGGATTTAACTCCTTACTTCCGTGACAGTGAGGAGTCATTGTGTAACTCCAGTCAAGCATCTCAGGCAATTTTCATGCACCTTATCCCTGGCAGGAGGAAACTAWCGTTGGCATCTGTGGTATTACCCAAACCTCCCTGGTTTTAACAGCTTCAGTGCCACAGCACTGCCTACTCTGAGCTCACACACTTAGGTTCTCTTGGGAAGCAGCAAGGCTCAGGAGTGTCCCAAGGAGCCTGGTGCCCTTCCTTGTGTGAGCACACARCCCCTCACTCCAGGCATCACCAGGACATGTGCTGGCACCATGCTGGCCTTCCAGATTTGGGATCAGCACCTTGGTTCAACTGTATCTTCTTACCTGGAGCTCATTTTTCAAAATGCACAAAAACCTTTCTCTAGCAGAATTGTGCCATCAGCTTTCCCCATGCAGGGCCTCTCACATGCTGCAGCTGATCTTCTCTTGAGAGATACATGCATGGTTTGAAAATCTAGAAATATTTGCCATTTGTAACACTTCTCAGTGAGTGAGAACTGCTGCCTTGCCCCTCTAAGAAGGACCATCCCTGCAGTTCCTGTACAAGTTCAGGGTTGCCATTCCCCACACCCCCAGAGTCTTCTGCCATGATTAATGAGTAAAAGAAAAGCATCCTGTAAGCTACAGCCCTGTTGTGAGCAGGGAGTGCAGCCAGACACACACCTCAAGTCCCAGCTGATAACCCTATCACAGGAGATAAGGAGCTGTCTGACAGCGCTCTGCCTGTGGTCCAGCAGCTTTCCCACACACCCAGTGCTGCTCAGTGACAGGGAGAGATGTCCCACTCTTAATATAGACCACAGCTCCCCAGCACCCTGTAACACTCCCACAGCCTGCACTTCCCCAGGAACACACTGACRTGCTGCTGAAGGGTGACAAGCTACAGTTGACAATTTGCACATTCACAGCCCACTACAACATGAAATAGTTGCAGTTAAGTTATTTTGCAGTGACAGGAGTCAGAATTATAAAAATCATTACCTAGCTGCATGCAGAAGGAAACCMAAGAAAAGCTTCCTGGCCTTTCAGATGCAGGAAGAATCAGATTTAAACTCACTGGTACCAGGGTCTACACCTGTGTTCCCATGTCTCTCACCTTGACCTGCAGCTCCAGCACACCCAAGTTTTATCTTTTTCCTTTCTGACAATGAAGTTTTCCCAGCTGTGCTGCCCAGAGTACCTCTCCTGTTGCTGCTTTTGTGGGATTTCAGTGCCTGATCCCTGTTCMTTGGCTGAGTTCAGTAGGATGTGTTGGGTGTGTCTTGGTGCTAGCCCTCCGAGTCCCTTCCCTGTGCCCTCTCCAGGTGCTGTACAACACTGCAGCAGTGCAGTGCCACCTGCAGCAGTGGCAGGAGGCCAGAGTCACCCTGGAGAAGGCTGTTGTGTGGAGACCTGAGAGAAGATCAGCAGTCCTGGAGCTGGCCCTTGAGCGGGTGCAGGTAAGGGCAGCTCTGTGAGTTCCTGGGCATGGGCATTGGGCTCCAGTTTAGGAATGTRTGCTGACACTTGTGTGTTTGAGTGTCCCTCACACCTGCATGTTCCTGTCATTCACCCACCTGCTTGCTCACCTGCTAACACAGCCTAAGCCATTCTCACGTGATGCTCTGCCAAACCAGGGCTTCAGGTAACTGAGGAACTCCATCACCCTYGGGTGCTTCTCTGCCCAGAGACACCATGGTAGAGAATTTTGGGATAATCTTGAGGCTGGGGAYGTTGTTTCACAGTCTCTAGTGTTTGGGAGCTCAGTTCTATTTGTTCTTGTCCTGTAAAACCAGTTGCCTTGAGCAGTGTTTCAAGTGCAGAACCCCCACAAGCGCAGGTCTGGAGAGTCTCCCTCTTCATGGCACTGGCTGACTTTTTTTGAGTCCCTTTGGCCTCAGGAACAATTGGTGGCAGCTCAGATATTATTGTCAATCACTTTTGGAGCTTAAGTAGGGGTTGAAAGTGTTTCTAGGGCTGCTTGTAAGTAATAGTTTCCTGTTAGACTCCTTTATGATCAGGAAACATTTGCTGATCTCTGATTTTCTCTTCCTGGAGTGTTTATTAGTTTGCTACCTTCAAACTTTACAAGAGTTTCATACTTTATAAGATATTCATACTTTGTTTTTAATCTGATCATCTCTTCTGGCATCACATTTGTGCTTTACATCAGTGTATTATTTATAGCTGCTATTAGCACGCTAGTCAGTGGCTGAACAGAGAAAACATTTGAAGTCAAATAGGAAAGCTGTCTAGAAAATTTGTTTAATAAACCTTTCCACCCACCCCATGCCAACAGTGTCAATCCTTGACTCCWCACTGAGGAGGGGCTGCTGAGCTCTCAATTTGCTTATGCTTTTGTGGAACCTRAATGGCCTTTGTTGAGTTCACAGCTTTACTTTTTCCCCCAGTATCTTTCTGGAGCTGCTCTTGCACACCTAGGGACGCTGTATTTGCTTTCCACCGCTCTGGTGTTTCATTCAGTAKGAATTGATGGCTTTTCCCTTACCTGCTTTCCCCATCCCAGGACCGCCTGCTTTTAGAGCCCATGCTGGTTCCTCTCGGGGAGCTATTCAGACCACGRAAGAAGGAAGTTGAAGAGCTGGATTCAAAAGATTTCCTGGGCAAACCCAAGGTAACAGGCACGTAATTGTCAATTACTGCAGCAGTAAAAAATGCCACTTCTGCCATCTCCTGAGAGCAGTGCCATGGGGGGATCCAGAGCAGGATGGTCAGTGCTTGCAGCCAGTYCAGGCAGCTGGGACACAGAAGCCAAAATTTGTTAGAATTGCCACCTCTTCTATCAAAAAATGTACTTTGGCAAGAAAAAACCCTCCCAATCTTGGTCACTTTTAAGTTGAAAGGGCCGAGCAGGTACTCTGGAAACCCATGGCTGTCCTTTTGCTAACAATGATGTTTTGAAGAGGAACACATTCTCTGAGCATGCTGCTGCTCAGTCCTGTGTTCCCAGTGGGTACATGGGGCACAAATGCTTTGTCACATCCTCTAACAGGMGGTAGCAGAGAATTTCTCTGGCTCCTTCTGTGACCAGTGCAGTCAGGACAGAGAGCTTCAAAATGAATAAAGGAAAGGGAAAGTTATATATTTCCATACTTCTRAAGAAATCTTGGAAAGGCTAAAAAWCTGGGACACAAATGGTTGAAGCTGTCTTGGTAATCCAGCTCTGCCTCTCCCACTGCACAGCTCTGCACTGTGCCTTGAGRTGCCAGAAGGAAACAGTTCTGAGCAGATAATCTTGGATGAAGCTTGGGAGTCTCTTCATTTAGCCTAGATGCACTCATTGCTTTTTTCTCTGGCAGGTGATCTCGTCCATCATTCCCAATGATGAGTACATTGGCTTTGAGCCTCTCAGGCCTCAGGTGAGCAGGACAGAGACGTGAAAGGAGGAGTGGAGCTGTCATGGAGCTCCAGAAAGGGGCTCAGGTCCAAACACCATCCAGGGAAGAACAGACTGTTGAAAAAAACAGTGCAATATCAGCCTGGATCCGTGGGGATGTTCAGAGCCAGGCTCAGCACTGCCTGGAAGGGACTCAGTGATGGGAATCTCTAGTCCTTTAAATATGCATTTTTGATTCTTCATYATGTCAAAACAGAAGTGCTTTGCTGTGCTTCATGTCTTTGCTCATCTCTTCAGTGAATGTGGCAGTGTGAGCACAGCTGTCTTTCACTGAGCTGGGAGCTCCATGGAACCAGGAGGGAGGGGGAAGAGATTTTTTTACTTCCTGATGAGATAAAGAGGGAGGGGAAGAAACAGAAGGTACATCCTGGTAAGGTGTGGAGCAGTAGACTTCTTTCTGGGTGGTGCAGAGTGACAAATGGGGTCAAGAGTAAAGAAAAAATAGCACAGTCAGGAGATAAGGTGGCATGTTGCGGTAGGAGGCCCTGTTATAAATAGCTGCTGTTGTTTCTCCCACAGAAACAKGGCTTCTATGAACCCAGTACCGATGCTCTTCGGTGAGTGTTTAGTCCCACCCTGCTCTAACCCTTCTCTCACTACTTCTGTTTGGAAAGTCTTTTGTTCTCTGGTGTCTTTGTGTGAAGAATCCGAGGGATCCACCCACTTCTGAGCAGGGGTGGAGTGAATGACAAACACACAAAGGCTTCTGTGGCTGCAAGGGACACTGCAGGTKCCTGGCATCTCTYTGCAAGAGTCTGGGCAATTTGCACKGCWTAATTCAATAGTCTTGGGAGAYGGGCATGGATCATGCCATGGCTAKGGAATGGAAGCAGAGAGARTGGGATCTGCCCAGATCTGTGGMAAGAATGCTCAGCTGTCCCATCTTAATTCCCAGGACAATTCCAAATACTCACTACCARCCCTATTGTCCTGAGCCCCTGTCCTGTTCAAACCCCAAGAAGGTAATTTGTTTTGGTGATACTGTACCAGCAGTAGTTCAGGGCTGAGTTGAATAATTGTTTTGACCCTGACAGTGTTTATCAGCACAGTGAAAATGCAGCTGCATTGGGCCAAGCAGTGTTTTCCAAGCCCCTCTCGTTCCCAGTTGGACCTAAGAGCAGCAATGGAAGCGCTGATTTCCTGACATCCTCAGCTTACAGCCCGTGCCAGTCAGGGTTGGGGCAGTGTGGTAGCTCAGAGCCATCAGCACCCACAGCCCAGGCTGCTGCAGTAGCCTCCTCTCTCCACAGGGATGCTGAGTCTGGGTACCACCGCACCGTGTCCCGCTTCTGCCCCGAGGAGCCGGCAGGGCTGGAGSTGGCAGCCGGGAGCCTGGTGTTTGTGCTGAGCAGAGCAGACGGCTGGGCCACGGTCATCCACGATGGGCAGGTGAGGGACACAGCCCCTGAGCACAGTCCTTGGGCCCACCCTGCAGGGCAGGGCAGGGCAGGAGCCCAGGAGCTCCTTTCCACACACCTCAGATTACCCTCTGCTCTCACCAGCCTCTGCCACTCACCTCTGTAGTTCCACAGGGATATCTTTTGGGCTCTCCACCATAGAGGATCCTATTGTGGAGTTGTAGGATACCAGACCTCATCAAGGACCACCATCTAGAGCAGGGTTTGTCACCTGGGAGCTTTAGTGGAGCTGAGGAAATGAATTGGTCCTTACCTGGTCTRTAGTGCCTTGTTAAATGAACTTTGGGAAGGTCTGGGGAGGTTTCAGCTGTGAAGGCAGGTTTTTTGAAGGGCTCTAGAGAAGACCTAAGGAGTTAGAGCCCAGCAAATCTGACACCTTCCTGCAGGCCAGGGAGCTGTAGTGTAAACAGACTGAATAAAAACAGATAAATACATGGAAAGTCTTTCGTTGCCAGAAGCCATTTCTCACCTGTCTACTTCRGTTCTTTGAAAGCGCCATTGTACACCTGGATAGGGTTCAGCCAGTGAATCCCTGCCTATCTTTCAAAAAAAAAAAAGTCAGAAGATTCTTCATAAGACCAGTGAGGTAATGGAGGAAGAGAGACAGTGCTCTGAGGACTGGTAAAAATACAGTATTGCAGATTGGGTATAAATAAATAGGCCTTCCTTCCTTCCTTCCTTCCTTCCTTCCTTCCTTCCTTCCTTCCTTCCTTCCTTCCTTCCTTCCTTCCTTCCTTCCTTCCTTCCTTCCTTCCT